TTTGGCATACAGCTCATGAAAACCCAACATTCCTATCTCAAAAAATTTGCATATCATGAAAAGGTTCTCTAAACGAGCTACTAACCTAATCATCTGAATCAACTAATTAACTCTAAACACCTGCAAAAGATTCCTGAGGCTTTTGAAAACTCCCAGCCTGGTTCATTACTCAAAACCGCAATCATAGGTAAGACTGCCGACCTGACTGCTGTCCAGAAGGCCATCACTGACACCCTCAAGCAAGAGGGTAAGACACAGAAAGACATTTCTGAATGAATAGGCTGTTGCCAGAGTGCTGTATCAAGGCACCTCAGTGGGAAGTCTGTGGGAAGGAAAAAGTGTGGCAGAAGACGCTGCACAACGAGAAGAGGTGACCGGACCCTGAGGAAGAATGTGGAGAAGGACCGATTCCAGACCTTGGGGGACCTGCGGAAGCAGTGGACTGAGTCTGGAGTAGAAACATCCAGAGCCACCGTGTACAGGTGTGTGCAGGAAATGGGCTACAGGTGCCGCATTCCCCAGGACAGGCCGCTTTTGAACCAGAAACAGCGGCAGAAACGCCTGACCTGGGCTGCAGAGAAGCAGCACTGGACTGTTGCTCAGTGGTCCAAAGTACTTTTTTTAGATGAAAGCAAATTTTGCATGTCATTTATAAATCAAGGTGCCAGAGTCTGGAGGAAGACTGGGCAGAGGGAAATGCCAAAATGCCTGAAGTCCAGTGTCAAGTACCCGCAGTCAGTGATGGTCTGGGGTGCCATGTCAGCTGCTGGTGTTGGTCCACTGTGGTTTATCAAGGGCAGGGTCAGTGTAGCTAGCTATCAGGAGATTTTGGAGCACTTCATGCTTCCATCTGCTGAAAAGCATTTTTCAGCACGACCTGGCACCTGCTCACAGTGCCAAAACCACTGGTAAATGGTTTACTGACCATGGTATTACTGTGCTCAATTGGCCTGCCGACTCTCCTGACCTGAACCCCATAGAGAATCTGTGGGATATTGTGAAGACAAAGTTGAGAGACGCAAGACCCAACACTCTGGATGAGCTTAAGGTCGTTATAGAAGCATCCTGGGCCTCCATAACACCTCAGCAGTGCCACAGGCTGATTGCCTCCATGCCACGCCACACTGAAGCAGTCATTTAAAACACTTTTCTTTTATTGGTCAGATGAAATATGCTAATTTTTTGAGATAGCGGTTTTGGGTTTTCATGAGCTGTACGCCACAATCATCAATATTAGAAACAATAAAAGGCTTGAACTACCTCAGTTGTGTGTAATGAATCTAATATATATGAAAGTCTAATGTTTATCAGTACATTACAGACGATAATGAACTTTATCACAATATGCTAATTTTTGAGAAGGACCTGTATATATTAGCGATGTGTCTTACAAACAGTGTCTCCAAAATGGCAAAGATCCTTCCCAATCGCTTTGGCTCATTTCTCAACACAGATCGGACATTCTCATCATTCTTGATGCTTTTGTCAAAATAAACCTGGATGGTTGATCACAACAACATGGTTTACCTGCAAAAGCTCATATCTCTCCTAAAACACTTCACTCATGTGCCAAATTACATTTCTTTCTAATCTGAATAGTCAGTGCCCCAAAATGCATCATCCCTTTGGCATTGTGTGAGTACTGCCAGAATCATCATCATCTTCTTCTTCTTCTTCTCCTTCTCCCTCTTCTTCTTTTTCATCTTCCTCTTCTTCTCCCTCTTCTTCCTTTTCTTCTTCCTCTTCTTCTCCCTCTTCCTTTTCCTCTTCCTCTTCTTCTCCCTCTTCTTCCTTTTCATCTTCCTCTTCTTCTCCCTCTTCCTTTTCCTCTTCCTCTTCTTCTCCCTCTTCCTTTTCCTCTTCCTCTTCCTTTTCCTCTTCCTCCTCTTCTTCTTCTTCCTCCTCCTCTTCTTCTTCCTCCTCTTCTTCTTCTTCCTCCTCTTCTTCCTCTTCTTCTTCTTCTTCCTCCTCCTCCTCTTCCTCTTCTCCTTCCTCCTCCTCTTCTTCCTCCTCTTCTTCCTCTTCTCCTTCCTCCTCTTCTTCTTCCTCTTCCTCCTCTGCCTCTTCTTCCTCTTCTTCTTCCTCCTCTTCTTCTTCGAGGAAGAACTTCCCCTTGTCCGTTTGCTTGGCCTTGTCTATCCACGTTCAGAAATCGGACTGGCGCTGGTCAAGCTCTACACATCTGTGTTTGGCAGCACACGATCATGGAAAACACCTGTGTGTAACACTCCCCGTTCGTTACTCTAGTTTCACCTGACTATCAGTAACTGTCATCAACAAATCAAATATTCAAAGAAATTCACATATGGTATTCGTGGTATTATGTTCTTGACCAATTCTGACAATTGAACAGACAGTTGTGCATGTGAGTACTTGTACAATGAAATCATGCTGACATGTTTTGGAGAGAATGATCATCAGACTGAGAATCAACTAATCAGTTTAGATCTACAAGATCTTTGGAAAATGTGCTAAATGTGGGATAACTGTCTAACTGCAGGCTACATGTACAAAGATGCACTGAGACAATTGAGACATGTACTAAGGCATTTACCATTTGATAAAATGAATGAGAAATACCATTCTGTTGTGAACATTTGCCAAGAGGTTTGGAGGTTTGTCCATGTTATTTTGAGAATGTAATTTCTGTTTCAAGAAATGAGCCAAACCAATGGAGAAAAACTGCAGTGAAATTCTGGCAATACGATATGCATCACGATACATTGCGATACATTTAGCCAGACAATATTAGCGATTTTTTTAGACTAAAAATGTTGTAGAAAAATTCAATAAACAGTCCAAACCGATTTGTAACATGTTTAACAGAAGGTATCTGAACCATAATAGAGGGATTTACACTTTTGTGGTGGAAACAAAATCCATTGCACAATGCTGTCGACTAGCGGTTGGTGTTTGAATAGCACAAAAAGAAAATACACAAATGCTTGCATGTAAATTCTTCCAAAAATTATACACACAGCTTTTAAATATCTAAGTAATATCACAAGAAAAAATATCGCAATATATTGCCATGTGGATATTTTCTTACATCTCTGATTACATATATATATATATATATATATATATATATATATATATATATATATATATATATATAGATATATATATATATATCTGCCTGGTACACCATCCCCAGTGTCAGTAAATTATTATTAATAGAATTAATCCGTTTAGTTCCTGTTTTGTTGAATAAGGTCTCTTGTAGGCGAGAATCTAGATGCAAAGACACCCACCAGCTTAGTTCTCACCATTTTACATTTCCTTGTGTTCTGGTGTCACATTGAGGTACATCTGGTGGTCCACAGCACGTCTGCGACTATCTTCCAAACTCTGACCCATCCTCAGGCCACCACAGCTATATGAGAGCACCTTTATATTGATTTATTCAGAGTTAAGCTCCTGTATCGGGTCTGATTCATCCGCCTAACCAGGACAGCATGCAGCAGGCTCTACCTTTACGTGGTTCAAGCATACATGGGCTCCCTTTGGCTAGATGACCTCACCCACTTCATGGCATTCAGCTTTGAATGAGGAATATTCACTATTTGCAGTGACTATCACGTCCCCTCGGTTTGTCCTTCAGGCTGAAACACAACGTTTCTTCATCCATCAGGTGAGAATCTAGATGTAAAGTCACTGAGCTATTTAGTTGTCACCATTCTGATCACCTGCTGCTCCAGCATCAACTGTGGTGTTGTTTTCCCCAGACTTTCCCTTCACTCCTTGTTAGAGTTGAAGCTTTTGTAGAGACGTTGCCTTCAGCTGGAGGGAAAGAATACACGTCATTTATATAACATACATGATCTATTTATTTGATGCAACCTTTGAGGTCACAAAAGCCAGTGATTCCTTGTGCCGGTCTCAATTCTAAATAATCAAAGAGGGTTGTGTCAGGATGGGAATCTGGTGGAAAAGATAAAATAAACTATACTGCGAATGACAAACAGGATCAGTTGAGACCCGAGTCAACGACCACCACTGGTGCTGTTGACAGGGTTCTGGTGGAAATTGGACTGCTGTTGGTTGATTGGGGAGAGGCGGAAGGTGCATTTGTGGGCAGAGAGAAAAGAGGAAAGGCAAGAGTGTGGAACTGAATGTTGGAACTATGGCAGGTGAAGCTAGAGAGCTGGTGGACATGATGCAGGGACAGAAGGTGGCTGAGATTGGAGCCACCAGTTGTGCTGAGGAAGACCCAAAAGAGATGGATTGTGTTGTTAGTTGGTGTGAGGGTAGAGGATGCAGAAAATAGGACAGAGATGATTCGCTGTGCCAATTCCAGGAGGCAATTGGCCCAAAGAGAAAGGAGAATATATTTATTTGTCAACACAAGTGGTGAGGGGCTGCACAGCGGCACAGCAGCTAGAGCTGTTGCCTTGCAGCAAGAACATCCTGGGTTCAACTTCCAGCCTCCTCGGCATGGAGTTCACATCTTCCCAGTCCAAAAACATGGCTGTCAAGGTGACTGACTTCTCTCAATTGTCCTTGTGTGTGTTCGTGTGCATGCTCGTTTGTCCTATGTGTCTCGGTGTTAACCAGCGATGGACTGGCAAACTGTCCAGGGTGTACCCCACCCACTTGCCCAGAGACTGCTGGAGATAGGCACCAGCCCCCTGCGACCCTGCGTGGACCAGCGGGTTAAGACAGTGGATGGAAGTGATGAGACTAATCCTGCTGATATGGCCACTAGGGGGAGACAAACACTGCAATGAATGGAAGGTTACTTTCTCAAGCTTTATTTATTAGGAAGCGTCTCTGAGGAACCACGTTACATTTATATTAAGAGAATAAGAAAATTAGACGGGAGGAAAAACAAAAACACTTTACGAATGAATAAAACCATTTTAAAGCACAATTAGTGTGTGTGCGTGTGTGTGTGTGTGTGTGTGTGTGTGTGTGTGTGTGTGTGTGTGTGTGTGTGTGTGTGTGTGTGTGTGTGTGTGTGTGTGTGTGTGTGTGTGTGTGCGTGTGTGTGTGTGTGTGTGTGTGTGTGTGTGTGTGTGTGTGTGTAAGGAGACGCGCCGGTGTTCCATTCACCCGGTGCCTCCCGGTTGTTAATTATCTGCCCACGCCGCTCCGCGCCGCTCTGTGAACGCAGAGAAATGTTTCCGCCTGTTTGTCATTTCTGCTCCATTGGCTGCTGGACGTAGACGCATCTGATCGCCGCCCAAGTTTCCAGCGTGTTTCCGTGTTTTTGTCAGCGCTCCGGGTCAGATGCCGTTGATTTTTTTTAAGGATTAATAATATCCTTTAAGGAGAAGCGCCCCGACGATCGTTTAAGGCGCAGCGCGTGTCATGCTGGCAGCAGCCGGGCTGGAGGTCGGCGGATCCTAGTTGGACTGATCCCTGAGAAGACACACCAACTGAGCAAGCGACTGTCCGTCCACGCGCGCGTCTCTTTCTCTTCGTCTTGGACACATCTTGGACAGGCTCTCCGAGTGCCATGTCCACACGAAAGCCATCGCTAACGGACAAGCAGGCTAAAAACGGCACGTCAAAATATGTGTTGGAGAGATGCGCCTCAATTAACGAGTATTATGATATTGCCTTCAAGGTGTGTATTTCCATTTTCATACGTGTGTGATTTGAACAGGTGTAGCTGCAGGACTAGATTTGCAAGGCGTGGTGCAACAACAACATGCATGTGCTGCAAATGAGAGGCATTAGCAGCTGATTGGTCTGTGAGATGGTTCCATTAGGGGAAATCTTCCTGGCTGCCCTTTCTGATACATATATTTGCCAAGGGTGTACTTGTTGCTCCTTCTGCTGAATGTTTCCTTTAAGAAACAAACCGACAAGTGCAAGAAGTTCCCTTTAAGCTCTGCTATATGACTCCATGAGTGCGTCCTGCATGACAGACATGCAGTTTTGATCAAATGCAACTGAAATGGTTGCATAATATAGCTCATCCCCCAGCTGTTTGCAATTGATTAGTTAGGGTAAATGATGTTTAAGTGAGAGTAAAGTTACAGAGGTGGTCTCAGATCATCTGAAATCCTGAAGATGGTGATGAGTGTTTGCTCCAGTTTTAGTTTTGAAAAGCTAAAATGCAGAAAAAATGCAACCAATGGTGGTGAAATGGACAGGGGTGCATCCAGAAATCTAGGGGCTTCCAAATAGGGTCCAGTGACCTTGGGTGGCACCAAGCGAAAAGCTTTAACAGAATTTTGGTTTAAATATACTAATCAACGGAAGTTTCCATGGTGTGTCCTGGGGGCTGTTTGCAGCCCTCAACTTCAGTTAAAAAAGAGTGGAACTTTGCCCTAAATGTTTAAGATTTTTACTGATCCAAAAAAATGCAGAGTGTTCAGTACAACAAAGTCTTATCTTGGCCTATGTTACGCTTTTAATTAGTGATGCACCAATATGAAATTTTTGGCCCGATACCGATATCCGATATAAATATTACTGTTATGGCCGATAACCGATATTTGCCGATACAGATATACTGACATTAATGTTTCTAAAATCAGCAGATTTTGTATGGAATGAAAATGATTAAAGCTGAATTTACAGTATTTAGTACACACATACCACACACATTTATGCTTCTGAGATGATTACAATCACTGTCGCATGACTAAACAGATACACATCACCCCCTTACCCTCTGAAACAGATAAACAAATGGAGACAAGTTGGAAAAATATTGGTTAATATTGGCCCGGTTGTATTTGTCGGACCGATACCGATATGTTAAATTACTAACATCGGCCGATACCGATATTGATGCCGATATTTTGTCCATCCCTACTTTTAATTTATGTTCATTTCCACAAGCTGGACCCCTGAGTGAGACTGTTTTTAATACTGTTACCGCCCACTCCCACAATATACGTCCAAACCTGCCCACTCGCAACTCCCCGTATATAGGCCATCTAATAAAATGTACTGCGGCGACAGGAGTGAGGAGTTTGCCTTGTGGGTTGCCGGTTACAACCTAGGCGCAATCTGTGACAGACATGCCCTTGGGCCAGACATTTCACCCTCCTTGGCTGCTGGTAGTGGACCGAGGGATCAGTGTTGTATGGAAGTCTCGTTTCTGTCTGTTCATCCTAGGGAAGCTTGGGCTAAATTGTCGGACATCACTGTGTGTGCGTGCATGCTCATGAAGAAGAAACAATCTTTTATAAAGTGCTTCACTAGAACAAATGTAATGAAAGGGATTCACCCCCCCCCCCCCCCCCCCCCCCCCCCCCCCCAGGATCAGTGAATCATTGACCGTAGCAGGAAGCGCTTTGGAGTCCTATGACTTAGAAAGGTAAAAGAGTACAACTTTATTGTTTCCACTTCCTTTATTTAGTTTTATTTTCTCCAGTCTCCGTTTCGTTGGCTACCTCATGTGCACTCTCCATTAAAGTCAGGACCCACTGTTTTTTGTAGCTACCTGCAAGATTTCTTTTGGGTCTGGTGGGCGGTGGGATTATAATCCCAATGCACTGCAAAACCCTCACAAATGTTTTCTAAAAAATAGCACCACTCCAAAAATTAGACCAATGGCGCATTGACATCTGGGTTGGCCCAGTCCGGTCTCTGTTAGGCTGAGTCCCCGTCGGCCATGTTTTCTTCACGGAGCCTTCTCAGGAACACAAGTGTCTCCAAGCACCTGCGTGGGGGAAAAGATGCGCAGCGAAGTCTGTGGTGTCATCCTTAAATTAGTAAACAAGGGCGGCCATGAGCAGTGTTGCTTTTGGAGACTCTGACATGAAGCACACAGCTTCCTACTCTCGCAATAAGGAGTGGTGATGCCGTAGGCTCCTCTCACAGCAGTCTGTCCTCGCGCTGGAGAGGCAGGTTCGAGCTGAGGTCACAGAAGATATTTACCTCGCTGCATACAGACTGATGATGAATCACGCATGCGGGAAGCTGCCACTGGCTGACACCACCTGCCAATCATAGGTTCCTTCCAGTAGGTAGATATTAACATCAGCCGGCCAGTCAGTCTGTAGTGGGTGTGTTGGGTCAGCTCCACACCAAGATGACCACCGGAGAGCAGGTCTGACTAAAATGGTCAACTGAGCACCAAAAATGCACAGATTACCCAGATGTGAACACGATGAACCTACCAGGGCTAGGTTGGGCCGACCCAGATGTAAACGCACCATCAAAATCAAGCACTACCAAAAAGTGACCAGATTCCATTGTTTTGCTGATGATGGACTCGCATTAGTTTTCAAAGTCATGATACTAAAAAACCATTGAACCCTAAAATGCTTGTCTTTTAGTAAGGCTAACGCACAGGAGTGTTTGTCTCGTACCTACGGAGATCTAGAGACTTTTTTCTAGGAATAAGCAAGCGTTTGTTCTTTCACTACATTTCTGAGTAATGTAAAAAGCACATGGACATGATGGTGCTGTTGCCACCACCCTGATGGAATCACCATTCACAGTCTCTTATTGTATAAATGTTTCTTTAAGAAACCAATAATACTTTTTATACACCAATACACCAATGTGTCTTTTGTTTCTCTTATTTAAAAGAAAACTACTGTGCATAAAAAACTGTCTTGTTAAAGATGGCATTTGGGGCCAGGTAGCTTACAAATGGGGCTATTGCCCTCCCCGTGCCCTGTTTGAATGTGCCCCTGGAAATGGTGCTTTCAGTTTAGAAGTAAGACTGTTGATTCCATGGTGAGGGTCAAGACAAAACAACAAAACATAAAAATGATTCACTATAATTGATTTAAGTTACAAATATTTGGTATAAACTGATGGTAATTGAATGACTGTCTTTAATCAACTTTTAAGCAATGAATTACCAGTTCAACCAATGATGCCTGGCTCAGTATCATCATGCTATAATAACTAGACTCCAGGAGAAATATGGAAGTATAACTTAAGAACCATCCCTCCATTTAAGTGAATACAAGTAGATGATGAATCACAGAAAAGACTTCAGTTAAACTCTCAAGTCCTCACTGGTTGTCATCTACAAACTGCTTAAGCTTTGTAGTCTACGAAATTCAAGATGCCGAGAGGGATGAGATGCTTTGTCTACGGCTGAAAAGTTCGCTAACCATTGCTGTAATGACCTGTAACAAGCTGTAACCTGCTGTCCTTTTTTCCCACGGGTGGTTTTGCTCCAGGTGATGCTGCTTGGAGACTCTGCAGTGGGGAAAACGTGCGTCCTGGTGCGATTCAAAGATGGGGCGTTTCTCGGAGGCAACTTCATAGCCACCGTTGGAATAGACTTTAGGGTGAGACGGAGTCTTTCAACCACCATTAACATAACATGTGCTTTGTCATCATCATCATCATCATCAACCTTTATTTATAAAGCACATTTAAACGGCGACAACGCCAACCAAAGTGCTGTACAAGACAATACATCACCAAAATAGATAAAACAAATAAAAACTAGTAAAAAATAAATAGTGTTCTTGTTTATCTCTTGACGATGTGTTAAAATTTTTTAAATTGCATTTAAAAGCAGCCTAACAACAAAACAAGTGGCACATGTAACATGGGCCCAATTATCGCCTCGTTCCACACACAACGCTCCATCATTCTGTCATGAAGATGGCACCAAATGTACAAATCCTCTCTTCAGTCAGTCAGGTTCACAGACCACTTGTGCTGTTGGGAGCTTTTGGATGGCTTCGTAAATGCCTTGGCAGATGCCTGCCCACGTCCCCGTCTCTCTCTCTGGAAAGATGGGCTGCAGCTCAGTTCGGCCCTGGAGGACGCACCCGGCTGTCAGACGAACACACACACACACACACACACACACACACACACACACACACACACACACACACACACACACGCACACGCACACGCACACACGCACACACACACATGGTGGCTGAGTTTCAAGTTGTACAGTTATGTCGACACTTTGGTCAGGGGGAACTGGCTCCGCCTCCTTTCATTTTTACCTCCTGTCTAAGACAAACACTAAAGGAAGGTCAAATATCAGAGTGCATCGTTTAGGAGGAAACTTGATGTTCAAACGTCTTTCTGTTGCATGTCTGGTTTATTGTATAAATACTCTTTTGCTCCTGCAAAAGCAACAAGTTCAGCTTAGATGAAAAAACCCACAGAGTAACAGTTGTCTACGCAGGCGCTGGTTTAAAAACATCCCTGGGAATTCATTCAGAAAAAGAGTCTAACAGTGTTGGTAATTATCTCTTTGTTTCCCTGTTTGTTAATGAGCTGAGGGGGTGCAGAAGATAAACACTTGAGTCAATATGCTGAGGATGTCCTCCTTGCTTGATTAGGCAGGCTGTTGTGGCAGCTTGTACATGTTGGGCTATTTTCGGCATGCTTCCTTGTAGCAGTTACTCAGCATGCAGGCTGCTCTCGCGTCATAATTGGCGGGGGGAAAAAATTGGAAACCAATGGCAACTAATGCAAGGGTTGAGCCACGTTCATTCTGCCAGTGTAGACTTCAGCTGGTGGCGGTTTGAGCTGCCAGCAATGGCTTTCTTTTTTGTTACACACACACACACACACACACACACACACACACACACACACACACACACACACACACACACACACACACACACACACACACACACACACACACACACACACACACACACACACACACACACACTTTATTTTGTTATTGCAGTAGATTTTCCGTCTTTTCTTAAAGCAGATGTTCGTGTGCCTACAAGGAAGGCGTAGAGGCAGTTTATGTTGACCTGCTACCGATATCTTGATCAAGGAAGTGCATTTTTCATGCTCACTTCCTCCTCCTCAGGTTTTCTGTCTTCTATTGCGGTTTTCCTTTAGCAAGGTGGAGACTTGGTGGTGACCTGGTTTGTTTGTTTGCTTTGGTAGAGCGGGTTGACAGCCTTTAAAAAAAAAAAGACAATTCTTTTGCCCGTAAATGGTGGCCACGGATTACAAAAATGGCCTATTTTTCTGTTTTTACAAGTGCACAAACTTTTTATCAGTCGCCACTTAAAGACAAAAGGCAGGCGATGATGGAAAATGTTCTGACTTGTGTTCCTTTTTCTGTGTTGACAAAATATCTCATGAACTACTAGATCAATTTTATTGAAAAGGCTTCATTGATTTCTCACAGCTAGTGAACTTTTGAAGTCAACCCAATTCACAACGGTGATCACCTTGACAAACACAAACATGGCCTCAGCACAGACTGTTCTACTGATGAAATGTGATGGTGTAGCAGCTTACTGACACACAAGTGCTAACAAATCACACAACATCCCGTGATTCATTTGTTTTTCTCCATTTATCTGAGTCCCGGGGTAGCAGCTCCAACGGAAAAGCCCGAACCACCCTCTCTCCAGTAGTCTCCACCAGCCTCACCAGGATGACCCACAGGTGTTCCCTGGCCAACGTGAAGATATATCTCTGCAACGTGTCCTGCATTGACCCAGGTGCTTCCTGCTGGCAGGACATGCCTCAAACACCTTATCTGAAAGGCATCCAGGGAGCACCCTGACCAAATGCCTGAATCACTTCAGCTAGCTCCTCTCTATGTGCAGCAGCTCTACTTTGAGTCTCTCCTGAACGTCCAAGCTCTCTAAGGCTGAGCACAGCCACATGTCAGAGAAAACACATTTTAGCTGGTTAGTACCAAAGCTCATGTCCAAAGGTCAGGATTGGAGTGAAGATAGAATGGTTAGCTTTGCTTTTTGGCTTGGTTCCTTCTTAACCACAACACAGTGGTATAGTGTCCCCATCGCTGCCCAAATCCACCTGTTGATCTCTGGCTCCCACCTTCCCACACTCTTCCACTAAAGTTTGGACCTCTGCCCTGACCCGGACTGGGCAATCCCTTCTTTTCCAGTAGAGAACCAAAAGTTGACCAATATGGCCGTCACTTCTTTGTTTCTCATCGTAGGATCATCTGAAAGTTGAGAACTAGGTTGAAAAGTGATGGGTGACACACATTCCTTTAAGGGTCACTATAGGCCTTTTAATTAGACCTGTCTTTGAGATACAGGAAATCAGAGGGCACCCTGCAGGAAATGAACGGGGGAGTCCATTGTTCTGTTGCCAGCCGCCGTTCTCACTCTGGTGTAATTAAGTCTAATCCCAGGACCTTGTTATTGTGTGGGTGTTGCAAATTACTTTCTCTGCCAGCATTCAGAGCCACTTTTAATTCTCTTGTTTCTCCTGCCACACTGAGTTGATTTTTATTTAATTTTTTAAGTCTGCTGTCTTTTTCGTCATTCGTTTCACAGCACCCTCAAGTCACCAAAGCCTATGCTGAAGCATCTCTCATGGTCCTTTTTTGTCTCTCCAGAATAAAGTGGTGGACGTGGACAACCTGAAAGTGAAACTCCAGGTGAGCAAGCACCTCTACACACCTTATTACTTCGTAACAGCTCTGGTAGATTCTATAAAACCTAGATGTTTGCATGTTGTTGCTTCAAGCGGTTCTTCTTCCGGCTCTTGGAGAGTTCAGATGCTTTTTTCCTCCTCTCCTCCCTATCTTATCCCAAGGCTCTTTGTCTGTCTTTGGGTGTATGGCGCTTCTGCATTTTTTCTGGAAACTGGAAACTATTTAAATGGATCTGGTCAGTTGGTCTCTCAAAGTGATTGACAAAACTTTTTCAATGATGAGAACGGGAGAAGGGGCTCCCGGTTGCCCCTCTGGGACAGAGCCAGCTGGGTATATCATGGACGCCTGGAAACAGTGGAACCTGATCTGCCTCTCTCAACTGTCTGTAGAAGATTCTGAAGACATCTGGATGTTTGTGGTGTTGGTGTCAGGTTTCTTGCCATTTGGCCTGAGCGGTTACCTGGCTTACCGGAAAATTAATGAGCTGTCGAGGAATATTGGCTCAGTCCCGGAGCTCAGGGATGGATTACACCGCGCTGTGAACGTACAAACTCATATAATTGTCGAGATGAGTCGTAAGCTTGAAACTTTGGCTGAGATTCAGACTCTGGCACAGAAGGTAGATGTCATCAAGGATAGAGTTGACGGATCAGCACGGATTTGGATAGATTAATCTACGCCATTATTGGATTCAGAGGGGTTGGAGATCAACAGAACTTTTAGACAGAGAGGAAATTATCTCTGTCTGTCCCCAAAACAATTTTTATCTGAAGCTGGTGCCCTTGGAGCCTGTGAGGCTGAAGTGATTACGCCCCCTCGGAAGAAATGTGGAATGCTGCCATCGCCATGGTAACTCTGTCTCCCTATCCCAGCCTGGGCGGGACTGCGACCGGTGAAGGCCGTTGAATTGTTTCCAGGAGTCAATGTGCTCTCTAACCCAATTACCTCCCTCCCCTGTCCAAATGGAGGTGACGAGCGCTGCTCATTGCAGCTGCACGCACTGATGTGTGGAGAGTCCCCAACCCTACCTCCCCACCTAGTGGACACTTATGTTGTGTAATGTCTGAAGTCTGTTGCATTTCTGTCTGAGGTGTTTTTTTGCATAGCAAAGCTGCCCTCTCTGTGGAAGGTAACTCTGAAGTGCCTTTTTTTCCTCCACCTGACCCAATCCTCATGTATCCCTCTGATCTCTATTAAGGTAGCGCAACTCGGGTTGCGAATGACCACAGTCACCAATTCTTGTCATGTGTCTTTGCCTATGTATGTCTGATCTCAGAATTGTGTGTACTGAAACTCTAATTTCCCTCTGGGATTAATAAAATATCATTGAATTGAATTGAATTAAAATGAACCATCACTGTTGACATTTTTAGAAATCCATTCTGCAGGATTATGAACCACCATCGTATTAAGTGGAACACACATACCTGTCTGTCATCATAACCTGTTCATTCAACACCAAGTAGGAGGCGGCAAAATTAGATTCCTCTTCTAGTCGCAGTAAATTATCAGCCACAATTCTCCTGCACAGGCTGTTCACATGATGAAACTGGCTTGTCTATTTAGAAAAAATGTCTCAATAAAATTTCTCTGTCCCTCAAAGTAGCCATTGAAAAATTAAGTTTTCCCCTTAAAGTGACAGTGTGTATTTTTCATGGCGATAGGGGGCGGTATATTCCTAAATCATTGCAAGCAAGCAGTATTTTTGTGTTTGAGTAAGGCCTTTTCAACGGATGCCTGTTAGGGTCAAAAAGCCCTGGGGAGTGCAAACTTTAGCAAAATAACGAGCACATCAGACTCCCTTTCATCACTGGCAACAAGTGAAGAGGTAAATGTGTAAAACAGCAACATTTAAGAATGACGGACGTTTTGTAACTACTTGTTATGAATCAGTAAATGCATTTTGTCCTCTTGGGCAAGAAACAAGAAGCGTGGCATCCAATAAGGCGTCGCCCAGAGACTTGCTGCTCTGCCTCAAACTTTTGACATTGGGGGACTTTATCAACACAACTACCTTTAGTAAATTCACCAAGAGTCTGGATGTGGCCTTGAGCAGAGCCACTCGTATGCTACAGCGGACGTAAAGCCACTGTGAATTATCCTTTTAGTTTCTCTCTCAAAGTAACATTTCTTACTAATCAAATGTAATATGAAGGGTTTAAAAGGTAGAATAAAAACTGAGTTATGCAACATGATGTCATCAAGGAGAGGAGGAGATTAGGAAGCTTGTATAGCTGTAGCGCCTGCCTCTGTGCACCCTTCCCTTCAGGAAGGAGTTGAAAGCCATGTCTCACTGACTAACTGGCCAACAGGAAGCAACAAGTTAGGCTGGGGAAGAATCTCTTGGACCTGCAGACCATCAGCACCCAGTTCCCCTCTGGGCTGTGTTCTCTCCCCTCTGCTCTTCTCCCTGTACACCAGCATCTGCACCTCCAACCACGAGCCTGTTATTTCGTTAGTCCAACTTACCTGCAGTCTCACCCGTTTTTATGTCTAAAATAACGATTTAGAACATCTACTTGCCCTTTTAAGGTGGTTTTTAATCTTTTGTTTCTGTATTTTCAAATAAAAATGTAAACCTTTTCTTTTTTTAAATTCTGAAGCATAAACTTTTCGTAAAGTTCTGGTATTTTAGTTGTTAGTCATGCCATGTTGGGGGAATTCCTGTAGTGGAAGTGTTACAATGGCTGATGTAATTTAGTGGTTTTTGTTGTGCAGATTTGGGACACAGCCGGCCAGGAGAGGTTCCGCAGCGTAACGCACGCCTACTACAGAGATGCTCAGGGTGACCTCTTCTGTTCCTGCTTCACCTATTCTGGCTGTTTGAGTCTGTTAATGAAATAATGTATGAATGATGTGCAAACCCCCCAAATCACAGCCTTTCTCTTTGCTTTTGCAGCGTTACTTCTACTTTACGACATCACCAACAAGCCATCATTCGACAATATCAGAGTAAGACCGACTTCCTGTTTCTAAATCCTCCTGCTGAACACTTCCTTCTAGCCTCTTCACACGCAAAGCATAGTTTGGGCCTGTAACACCTTTTATCAGAAGTTTTTTACAGCTGACACAATGCCGTCGTCTGTTTGGCGACACAGTCACCAGTTTCAGTAATGAAAAGCAATAAAAAGCTCTCATGGATGAGCGTGTCACGGTGATGGATCGAAGTGCAGATGTAAACAGGAGGAGGGGGACAGGGCTGCTGTTTGTTTTGCTTACAAACCTTTTTCTGTCTTCTTTACTTTTGAAGGCTTGGCTGACTGAAATACACGAGTATGCCCAGAGGGATGTGGTCATCATGTTGCTCGGCAACAAGGTGAGGAAAGCTTCCTTTAGTGTGTGTGTGTGTGTTTCATAAAAAGATGTGGGGGATAGCTGGTTCTTAAACACAATTTCAACTCACTCTTATCACACTCAGGCAGATACGTGAAAGCTTAAAAGGCAGAAAATACTTCCAGTGTGAGACGAACCACACAAGAAAGAAACTGTAGCTCGCTTACTTTAACACTTCCATGTGAAACATTGTGTGAACGTTGCTCAAAGCAGTTTCTGTAATCTGCTGCTGGCGATGAAGAGGGAAAAATAAGGTTCTCTTTGCTCCCAGCGGTCGCTGCTTGTTTATCTGAAGGCTCCCTCTGGTGGTTCAGAGAAGACCTGGTAAAAGGTCGATGTCACGCAGCAGCAGCAGCTCTGATCAGCTGTCATGAAAGCGGCGTGGCCAGCGGCGTCGATCTGTGCGAGAGCTCTGCTCTTCCGCTGGAGGTGGAGTTCCTGACGTGTCATCAGTCTGATGCTGCAGCTCCAGCTCAGGGAGCTGGAGGCTTGACGAGAAAGGCTGACATTATGGTGGCTTCTGCGACCTTTGACCTCTGTCCTTATGGCTTGCTCTCTTTTTACAGTCAGACATGGCTGCAGAGAGGGTGGTGAAGATGGAGGATGGCGAGAAACTGGCTAAGGTAGTGAACAATTCCCTCAGGTATGGTCAGGTGACCCGTGATGCTATAATGCTTTTTCCATTTCAGGAATATGGAGTACCGTTCATGGAGACCAGTGCCAAGACGGGAGGGAATGTGGAGCTGGCTTTCCTCGCTATAGCAAAGTAAGTCTTCAAGCTGCCTTGTTCAATCTCTCTGCATTATAAAGTCCAGTTAACAGTCATAACATGCTGATGTGTTTGGCTTCAGCAGGCATGCCAGCACACTAGAATAATGTCGTACTCCTTTATAATCAGCCTATTGTGTCGCCATCAAGTGGTAAAAATAAAACAAACTTCTTATTAAAGAGGTAAATAAAGGAGGAGGTAGTGTTTGTGTGGTGCTGCTGTTAAAAGTGAGAATAAAACACACCTTTTGTGTACTCTGTACTACTTTTATGAGTTGCTACAGCAACTACTACCTACAGTCGTAGAGATGGATCCTTACTAATAAAGATGAGTAGAGCTTAGGTCACATGTTTGGCCCTTCTGGTGTTTATTGTAGACAAATCTCCCATCAAACACAACAGCTCATAAATGAATGTATATCTAACTTATCAGCTGTATTCTGATTACTGGGCAATTTTGTAGGGGTGGCTAGGGCCACCCCTTGGGGGCGTCATTGGGTTTTAAGTCTCTGGTGTCCTAATAATCAGCTAAAAGCAAATTGCAGTTCCACCAGTTGGTGGCACTAACACCACATGAAAAAATATCCAATTAGAAATCGTGTTTTTAACATAAAAGAAGAACAAATGAACACATTTTACTACAGCAGCTACAGACATGATTCCAGCTCTATCTATATTAACCAACAGGGAATGAGGAAGAGTGAGAGAGGGAAAGGAGATCCAGCATCTTTTAGCATGCTAGGTAGCCGTTTTCTGAAGCAGTGGTGCTATCGGCCATTTTTAAGCTTAATATACTAAATGTTTTTTTAAGTGCTGTAGTGTTAACTGACTATAGTACATATTTATTAAAATGATCAATAAGATGTGATAATCCCATATAATCTGTGTGATATTTGAATGTTTAACCAGAAAATTCTAGTTATTTTACTTATTCAGGGACCATAAAGACACTTCGTATTAATTCAGACGGAGTCAAATATATAGTTTATAAAAGTGAATTTATTTCATTTTCTCGAAACTAATAATTATAAATGACAAGGTATGAATGATGACATGTAATGTAATGGATATGAAGTGATTTAATGTGACGTGTGGAATGTTGTAAAGGAAGCTGGATGTTGTAGCAACACCTTTCTTAAGTATCTGAGAGAATTTGTGAAGTCTGGGTTGTAAAAGAATTTGGCTGAATGTTTATTGAACTAGAGATTTATTTATAAAAAACCATCCGACGCATCTTTTGAGTCTACGATACCCTTTTGTGGAGATTCTCGCGTGATCCAGGGGGTCAAGAGGTTGTGGTGGACACTGCTGGTGGGGTGAACCTCTTGGTATCAGGAACCTGTAGATTAGCTCCGATAGGACCCGTCTAGTCTGAGACCTCTCCAGGTCACGACAGGAAGCTGGAATGCTTGTTTGCCTCTAAAGCCGGGCGTACACTGTGTGACTTTTTCACTTTTTTGAGCCGATTTTCCACTCGTGCGAGAATCCACGAGATCGGAGCGAGTTTTGCGCCGAGCGTCGTGTAGTGTACAGGGGGTTACGAGAGGCGATTAACACCGCGTGACCAGCTACCGATCAGCAATGGTGAGCTCGCACGGACTTCTGGAGTGTTTGATATTTTGCTCATTCCTCGTGAGGGTTGAAGCGGCGCTGCGAGCAGCTGCGACCCAAAAAGTACCAGAACCGCTCACGGCGCATGCGCAATCATGCATCAACACCACTCGCCCGCTATTTCCCTAATAACACACGTTGTTCGTTTTTATTTCTACACGTTTTTTGACTCTCAAAGATTGTCAAGAAAGCGTGTTTGTCGTGTCCATGTCAAATTAAACTGATCACAAAACACAGATTTACTTTCTTTATTTCGTTTCCTCATCCAACCCCCATAAATCCCTGTGTGTCCTCCTGCAGCACTCCCGAAGGACAACAGGCAAAACAAGACAAAAAAGTCTGACGTGTTGTGTAAAAACTGCTATTTTTAGCATATTTTTTAGGGCCGACGTGTTGCTACCAGACGTACAGTGTGAACAGTCAGGTCGCATCCGAGAACTGGGTCGTACAGTGTGAGCGCATGACTCGTGAGATCTGCTCTGCGAGGAAGTCGTACAGTTTGAGCTGAAGCTGAGTGCTACGAGTGAAAAAGTCGCACAGTGTCCGCCCGGCTTAAGGCTGTTTGTTGGCTTTTAGAAGAGTGTTTGACTATCAGCCGCAGCGTTGCAGAGAGGCTTTGACCTGATGTCAAAAGATAGGATGGTATCAAAAGGCCTGTTCACGAATTGGCTGGTTCGAGAGTCAACTGAATTAATCAGGAAGTAATTCCTGTTTTGTTAAAATTGCTTATAAATTTGGCAAATCAGAATTTGACATGTTTGAGGGCTTTATCAGAACATTTCTCAGACGTCACTCCTTCATGAAATAACTCAGAGGTTAACTCTGTGGAAATGAGAATGTTTTAAAACACTTATGTGAAGTGAATGTAACATTAACTCATTCACTGCCAGCCGTTTCCTGATCACTAACGGCCTTCGCTGCCAGCGTTTCTCACCATTTTTACAGTTTTTTTTAAGAGTCACAGAACGTTGCGCGCTAGGATGATGTAGATGCCAAAACAAAGAGGAGACTCACCTCTTACATCAGGAAGAATCCGTGTGTTTCGAGCGTTATCCGTTCTTTCATAATCCGTTGTTGAATTGTGATCGGCAGACGCTTTTCCGGTTCGCTCCTTACTTTTTTTACAGGAACGGCCCAAAACGATCTCCTAACACATGGATGGTCTGCTTCCTGATCATGTGACGTGTGACGTATGCGGATGAAGATCGGCTTCAGGGCTGAGATGTTTGTTCTCTCAGCGCGGGGGCTCGTTCCGATCCTCAAACAGTAAAAAAATGCAAAATGCAATGGCAGTGAACGGTTGGATCTAAAATGACGACTTTAGTCGTCAATGGCAGTGAATTATCTTATTATAATGTGTATGAGTATAGATATTGATTAAAACACAGATTATTCAAACATTTGATTTAAACAACTTGTTCGTTCAACACATTTGATTATTCCAACTTATAAGCTGAAAAGTCGTTTACAATTCAAGATGACTTTTCCTCAGAGTGAAAATGCATGAGGCCTGGAGCAAAGATGTTATGGCTCCGTTGTCTAATAACAAGAGCAGAGGCAGAGTTCTTTTTGGGTTTGGAGGCCATACAGATGGTGGGTTTATGTCTGCAAATGATTGGTTACTTTCTGGTCAATTTGTTGGTGAAAATTTGACCACTTGGTACATTACAGTGCCCAATAAGAGAAAATCTATAATAAGCACTATTTATTTTGGGTTAGTTTCTCCTTTATTGTATTTCCTTACAAGTGAGTCCCAAAACAAATATGTTCCTCCCACACAATAAAGCCTCTGCAGTGATAGTTAATTTAGCAGGAAATGTGCTGCTTGTGATAGAAAAATGAAAACTAAATGGAAGCGGTCATTTCAATTTGGGTATAAAACCTGTGCTAATAAACCCTTTTGCTGAGTATTAGTTATAATCCTGGGAGCAGTTGACCTTCTCTGCCTTAAAGCCTTACTGTTTTATGCTGTATTTTTAATAATTTGTGCACTGATGCTATCAAGCCTCTGATCCGGCAGAATAGTTTTTAGTTAATTTGCTGTCTGCTGCTGTTGTCTCCTCTTAATATGATTGTGTGTGTCAGAGGCTCCCTGAGGATGTCTCTCATTTTCTCTGCAATTTCTCTTCCGTTTGCATGCGCCTCTGACGCCAAATGACTGACATAAAATATAAAAAAAATGACATAAATTCTTGCTGAAATTCAAATCTGTCTCCAGAGCTGCAAAAAGAACAACATGTCCAGTTTGGCAGGACAGTGTTCACACCAATGAGAAGCTCTGATTCAGAGTGGATTTCTATGTGGACAGTAGACTTAAAGTTAAGAAAAGTAAAAAAAAAAAACATTTAATTAACTTTCTTCTATTGTGAGATTAAGAAGTGTAAAACAATGTGTTTTAGCTCTGTTTGCCAGCTAGAAGTGCACGTTCACAAGCAAGAAACGTTGCTTCCAGTCGTAATCAGGGAAGTGGGAAGATAGGCTTAAATGTGCAATACTTTTTTCCACCTCTAGATGGCGCCCTCTGAGGAAAAACTCCAGATTTCTGCTTTAATCATGGATTTAGTTTCAGATCAACACTGATTTATTGGTTGGTTGGGAACATCACCAACACATAAATCACCTCTGCAGTTTTCTTTAAACTCACAATTCTTTCCCCACCATACAACCAGCCTCGTTTTGATCTGTCCTTAACAAACCAGCAATGGGAGTGACATGGAATTATTTTACTCGTTAGTAAGAGAGTGGTAGCTGTGAAAAGAGACCTAAGCCCCGAGCCACACTGTGCACCATCCTCGACTAATCGCTCATCGTGAACAGAGTTGTGACAAAAAATGGTGAGCGTGAGGGTGATTTGCATGTCTGTAGTAGTCCAGTGCAACCAGCCCAGCGGTCGTTTATTGAGCACCCTCACGACCAAATTCAGCCTCCAACAGTCTTCAGGCAGCGGCAGAAAATCAATGACTCCAGTCTGTAATCGACCAATGAAAATACACAGGGAGTGACATGAAAAACCAGTGACAAGTCTGCAATACAAGAGTAGCATTAGCAACTATGTAGGCTACAGGCAAGAGCATGTGGACCACTTATTTTTGGAGTTTGGTCAAAGTGTCATAAAAGAAGTTTTAACAGTGGCGCTTTTTCCTCTTTCCATTGCTAAATCTGTCTGCTTTTAGTGACACGTGCTTTCCAGCAAGTATGCAAGTCACATTAGCATGTCCTGCTAGCGAGACGTGGTGCAGTGTGGCTCACGGAAATCTTGGGCCATACAGTGTGCCACCTCTCTACAGAGTCCTTATAGTGCGACAGGAAGCAGTCCTGCGACAGCCAAAAACTTGGTGTGGCCTGGGCTTAAGACAACCCCGAGGGGCCCCGTGTTCTGACTATCCTTGCTTTCTCATCAAATATTCCTACTGCAGCGTGTTACGACAGTTTCGCTCTTGTTTACAGTATAGTAACACACTTATTAAGCACATTTTATTTTAAATAGGTGATACATCTCAAAAATACGGAACTGTAGTATAATTATTAGCTAAATTATACCGTGTTTGTCGTGATTTATTTATAAAAAAGGCCGTGTTTGTCATGATTCCGTGAATGATGGTAAACAATGGGAGAAATTTCTTGTTTACAGTATTATAACGATATTTTACAAGCCATTACAAGCTAACTGTCAGGTAAACATACAACAAGGTAAACATCTTGTGATGTAATAATCAGTCTGCACAATTGTATTTCCACAAAGTAGCACATATCGATGAGTACCACGGACAGTTGGAACACCGGTACCACAGAAGTCGTTTCCTCCCAGTCATATATCTTATACGATACATACGAGTTATACGTTTTAAATATGTTCGTATAGTTTAGTGTACCTTCTTCCAGTTCTTACACACTACCTTAATGGTGGAAAATGGTAGTTTGTGTATACATTCAAAAAATACACAGATGATTCAGTTGGTAACATTCAAGTTGAAATGACATTGATAACAAAAATGCATCATGCATTAAAACATAAAACACTCTAAACATAAAACATATTTTTAAAATTTCTTTTAGAATTAATCAGGATGTTCAGAAGTCTTCTTCTGCTGCCTCCTATAGATGTTGACTAGTATGTTTTTGAAAAGCTCTTCGTCAGATTCAGCCATTTTTTTCCTCTGAAGTTGGTTTATATTTTAGATTTACATCCATTTTTGGTAATGTACTGTCAAGGCAAAAAAGCGCGTAACTATTGATTGATTAGGATCTTGTGATGTTTCATATTTTAATGTAATTTCTTCCATTCATGTATATTTTTAAAGATACGTTGATATGATTTTGCCACCTGGTTGTTTTCTGGTTTTGCATTTTAAGATGAAGTTGTGTTCAAACCCAGAAGCTGCAGTGAGCGAGGATTACATCATTGTGTTGCTGCTGCTTATAAAACAAAAGAAGTGTTTTCAATTGGAGAGACGCAGACTTTAATTCTTCATATTTGACAGTTATTGTGTTTCCTTCTCAGTCTGTTCATGCGAGTCTCTAATCATGAGTCTAAAAATGTTCTACTTTGGTGGCTTTAATTATAAAATCACTGAACTCTAGCCCTTCTTTTATTTCTTGGAAATGTTTCATCCTTCATCTGGAAGATGCACCCAGAACATTTATTAGATGTTTTCAGCTGCCGTTGGTTGCAGTTTGAAGCATAATTACAACATAAGAGGAGAAATGAAAAGTGACAAAAGCTGCAGAGGAACAGTCACTGTTGTGCTGGGAAGAAGATTACCAGAGTCGGCGCCAAGGTTTTCCGGTTGAGGCCGGGCTTTCTATGGATAACAAATCAGGAATATTTCTTTGATAATGTATTCTAATAGTTGTTTCTGCCCATAGACGATCTTCCACAGCCAATGAGAGTCAGATTTATTTAACTGTGTCATCATATGATGGGCTATGATGGATAATCATGGAAAAGTGCAAGAGATGGTTGGATATGTGTTGGAGGGGCCAGACCTAAACCCCATCTAGGAACCAGGAATCGGTTATAGTAGTAGTCGTGGCAAACAAACGCGGAGTTCAGAGGAACAAGGATGAATATCAACAGTTAACTGGGTCTATTTTTGATCAGCCAATAGTTTGTCTTCTGTAAATTCTGGCGTTAACGGATATTCTCTTATCTCTCTAAAAAAGGCAGAAAAGAGGAAATCATTAAAGCAGCAATCACAGGTTTTTCTCTTTCAGGAATTATGTATGATATTTTTAGAGTGATGGGTGCATCAGGGTAAGAAGAGAGGCAGATGAAGTGATGCACCCATCATGCCTAGTGCCTACTGAATACGCCTGTGGAGGCAGTGTCATGATCTGGGGTTGCTGCAATTGGTCAGGTATAGGTTCAGCAACAGGATGTGCTCCAAAAATGAGGTCAGCTGACTATCTGACTATCTGAATATACTGAATAACCAGGTTATTCCATCTTCCCTAATGGCAAGGGCACATTCCAAGATGACAATGCCAGGATTCATCGGGCTCAGATAGTGAAAGAGTGGTTCAGGGAGCTTGAGACATCATTTTCACACATGGAATTGAGTGAAATCTTTGGGATGTGCTGGAGAAGGCTTTGTGCAGCGGTCAGACTACCTTCATCAACGCAAGATCTTGGTGACAAATTAATGCAACACTGGCTGGAAATAAATCTGGTGACATAGAAGCTTATTGAAACAGCAGCGAATGTGTGTTTCAATCTAAACTAAAGGCAGTCCGATGAAATATTAGTGTGACCTTTTTTTGTGGCAACATTTGTTTTGGCCAGGCAGTGTATGATCTACATATACAATATGAACAAAAAGCATAATGTGAGAATAATAATTGTATTACAGTGTATACGGTGGTATTTCCCAGCTAGAGATGCTTGCTTACAAACGAGAGGCGTTGCTTCCAGCCTCCACATTAGAAAGAGGAGCTTAAAGATGCAGTACATTTTTTCCACTTCTAGGCAGTGCCGCCTGAGGAAAAAATTTTTTTTTTTGCTATAACATTACTTGTTTTTGCTCTCACAGTGCTAATGAAATAAAAGTGGAAGACTTAATGGGGTCTGATCGGAGGAAGCGAAGCAGCTAGCAGACTTGGCACGTGTTCTTGTAGGTTTATAGACATTTGGTGGAGAAAACGGCTGAACCACTCTGGCTTCCATGCAGCTTAATGCCACACCACAGCAGTGTGTGACCAGTATGAGGAAGAGGCGTTAGCCTGCTTTTAATGAGGCTCCTGATTGTTAAACGAATTAAATGTTAACCTTCTTGTTTCTTCAGACTTCAACCATCCAATCTTGTAAACACCACCAAAAGTGAGTCAGTAGCACAGCTAGCTGTTAGGAAATCTCTTTACTTTCATTGGCTAAGCAGAGTTAAGTTTAACAGTCTTTTTTTTTTAGGACATTTCTATTCATTAGAAATCTGGCATGGATTGGAATAATTTGGAGGATTTAGGTGCGCGTGCGCGCGTGTGTGTGTGTGCGCATGTTATTTTAGCTTCAAGAGGAAGCTGCAGGAAATGATAACACACCAGAGGCATTTCTGATTAAATCTAAATACACAGTGCTTCTGCTCTCCTCTCTGGTATTCTTGACTTGCTCATCTTGTCTGCTCTCCAGCCCACACACACACATCCACCCCCTCAGCTGCTAACTTCCTGTGTCTTCCTCCCTCTCCTCCTTTTCTCTGTCAGGGAGCTGAAGCATAGAGCGACGCAGCAGCCAAACGAGCCCAAGTTCAAGATTCATGACTACATCGAGTCTCAGAAGCAAAAGTCTGGCTGCTGCAGCCTCGGCTAGCGGATGCTGAACAACAGGCAGAGAGGGGCGCGCGCGCGCGTACACACACACACACACACACACACACACACACACACACACACACACACACACACACACACACACACACACACACACACACACACACACACACACACACACACACACACACACACACACACACACACACACACACACACACACACACACACACACACACACACACACACAGAGAGAGAGAGAGATGTTGCTCTCTTTTATGAAAGCCAGTCCAAGCACCAAACCCTCAGAGGTGGGAATCCTCCACTTCTCCACAGAGCTTTTCTTTTTTTTCTGTTTATTTGGGCTGAATGAAAGTGAATCTGGATTGGCTGCCATCCCTTTGCTGAAATGTGAATTTAAATTGTGTACTTTGTAGAAATGTGTGTGATCTTTGTGGTGACAGCTGTGTCAAAGTCAGGAGCCAGAATCTGAAATGCTATACTCGTCTACAGGTGCAGGAGGAACAGTCGGCCCTGGATGAGCGTGGGTTTTTATAAGATGTGGATGTAGCATTTTAAAGCCATGAAGCTCCGACTTTCACCAGACTGTGAGCTGAAGCCCTTCTTGGCCTTCATCTTTAATCCTTGTGTGAGAAGCGGAGTTCAGTCTCACAGTCTGATTGTAGCTAAATGGGCGTGTCTGTACTGCTGTTAGATAGAATAAAGCCAATATTTGGAGGGCAGTGGTCCACCGTGTCTTTGTACATTCACTCCATGGTCTTCTCATGTATCTGCTGCAGGATCATCCCTGTGCAAACAGAAAAAAAAGTACTTTTTAATTCATAAATTTCCCAACATGCAGTTTGAATCGACCCATCCACATACACACACACGTTCCCAAGTTGTCTTCTGATATTGGATGTTGTATTTGTTGTGTAATTCATTTCTTTGTAAGATGTTCATTATGGATGTTTAGTCTCATCTGTTGTTCTGAGGCACCAAAATGATCACAAAGTGCCATTTAAGTGCTTTGTTATCATACTATATATAAAGTATATTTTGTAATGTATGTGGGGTGGATTTATTTATGTGTGTGTGTGTGTGTGTGTGTGTGTGTGTGTGTGTGTGTGTGTGTGTGTGTGTGTGTGTGTGTGTGTGTGTGTGTGTGTGTGTGTGTGTGTGTGTGTGTGTGTGTGTGTGTGTGTGTGTGTGTGTGTGTGTGTGTGTGTGTGTGTGTGTGTGTGTGTGTGTGTGTGTGTGTGTGTGTGTGTGTGTGTGTGTGTGTGTGTGTGTGTGTGTGTCAGATCAGTTCCTTCTGAATGAGCTGGGTGTGTTGAGGTTGACAAGCCACAGTGTGGCAGCAGCAACCCTGTTTATTTTCCATCTAGTGCAAAAAGAACTTTTTTAAAATTTTGCTCAAGAGCTAAAGCTTTTTCCCTGTTAATGGTAAACGGCTTTTAAAAGAATTTTATTTTTGTGAATCATGCACCTGCAGAGGCTGTGAGAGTTGATGCTGCAATGCTGTGATTCACTGTGTGAGCTGGTACACCTGTACTCCTCACACCCCCTCACATCCATCCATACTGCATGAGTCACACTGCAGCCAGCGGTAATGAAAGTTCTGTTCTTCACTGCCAAAGTTTTCACTTTGGTGAGATCAACCAACCCCCCCCCCCCCCCCCCCCCCCCCCCCCCGCAGAGGTGCGTTTCACTTAGCTGCTGTAATCTGACCTGACATATCAGAGGGAATGCCTAATTGGTGGAACTAATGTAATTAGGGCTAAATATATTCAAGTCACAAGCAATTGAGCTCTCCTCGCTTGTAATTTAAATGGTTTGGCCCCATGATGGCCTTGATTTATAGGCTACAAAACATAGACTGTGATTAAACTGACCTAAAGGGATATTTATGTCTTATTAATGAGTAAAGTTCTGAGTAACCACTGACGTACTAAATAAACGTCCCAAATAGCCTCCGTTTGGAGAATTAGCATGAATTTCTGACTAAACTGATGAGCTAACGGCTAGTTTGAATCCATTGCAAGGTTTATAAAAGCATGATCTGCTGTGAAATGTGAAGAATTGGAACTGTTTTAGGAAGGCATGAATATACTTTAGAAGTGGATCCATCAAAACAAGCCATTTTTGGCATGACAATACTGTAGAAGTCTTTAACTGATGAAATGAAGACCCCGAGCCACCTGTTCAGTTCCACCAGACTTCTGTCTCCTTTCTTTATCCCCCCCACCCACGCACGCACACACGTGCACACACACTTACTTCTCTTTCCTATCAGTCTGATAGCGCCGCCTAGAGGCTTCATCCTCAACACCTCTACACTTCCCCCTTTTAGCTTGAAAAACTCTTTATTTGTAAGATAACCTTGTACCCAACGTAACAGTATCATTCTAACAGAAACCTGACATAGTCCAGTGTTTACAACCAAGCATGTTCAACTCTATTGTATTAACAATATAATCTAACATAAACACCTTGTTTTAGAAACATCACCCCTTTGTTTTTAAATGTAGGGGTCAACTAGAACGAGAATATTCACACGTCCAGTCTCTCTGGTGGGCGGGAAACCCTTCCCGACCTGGTCACAGTGGTACCCGGGAGTCTCTGTCATGTCTGACACCAGCTCCTCAGAGTAGGGCAGCTCGGTCTCAGGGGGTACAGTCAGGTGAGCCCTGTTTCTTCTAAACCTCCCTCGCTCGTTTTCCACTACATAAGACCCTGAGGTTGAGGCCGGACCCTGGACCGTAGCTGTGGACTGTGTCGTTCTGATCCACACTCTTTGGCCCGGAATCAGAAAGGGTAAGTCTTTGGCCTTGTGCCTCCTATCGAACGAATCCTTCTGCCTCTCCTTCAACTCTTCATCCCTTTTCCTGAAGGCTCCAAGGCTCGGCCAGGCTGGATACAACGCTTGTGCTGTGGTGGGAACTGTGGACCTTATCCACCTCCCCATCAGCAGTTGTGCTGGACTCAGTCCATGAGCTAACGGTGTAGCTCTGTAGGCTAAGAGAGCTCTCTGAGGGTCTGGACTTTTACTGAGCAGCTGTTTGACCGTCCTGATGGTCCTCTCTGCTTCCCCGTTGTTCTGAGGGTAACGAGGGCTACTGGTCACATGCCGGAAACCATAGTCCTGGGCAAACAGACTAAAGTCTGAGGAAGCAAACTGCGAGCTATTGCCCGTCACCAGGCATTCCGGCATGCCGAATCTTGCAAAGATCACCTTCAGCCGCTTCACCGTTGTAGCTGTTGTGAGAGGTGGGAGGTTGCCTACTTCGATGTATCGGGAGAAGTAGTCCACAACCACAATATAATGGCTGTTTTTCCACTGAAAGATATCAGCCGCTACTTTTTGTCACGGGAGTGGTGGTAGAGGTGTACTCATCAGTGGCTCTGTCTTTGTTTGTGAAAACTGGCAGCAGATTTCATACCTTTCCACCATGTCTTTGATCTGTCGTGTTGTCCCCGGCCACCACAGGGATTCTTGTGCACGTGCCACACATTTAGTCGCCCCCTGATGGCCTTCATGCAATCTGTCCAACATTTCTGTCTGCATGCATGCTGGAATCAAAATCCTCTTGCCTTTGAGAAGCACGCCCTCCGCCAGATGAATAACAGTCCTTTCAGGCCAAAACGGAAGAAGGTGCTCTGGGACGTTCCTCCTGTTGGGAGGGCCAGCCCTTTTCAGAAAATGTTTTCAGCTGTTTACAAACGCTGTCGGTGCTCTGAACGTCCATGATGTGAGCCATTTTACTTTTTGTGGCAGGTAGTCGTCGTAGGATGTGGTCAACATACATACAACTTTCCTGCTGCAAGCTGCTACTCTGTCCTCCAGTCCTTGAGGAGCTCTGGAAAGAGCATCTGCTGTGACAAGCACTTTGCCAGGGACATGAATAAGTTTGTAGTTGAACCTCAGCAGTCTGAGCCTGAATCTTAGGATTCTCGGTAGATCGTCTAAGACCCGAGAACCTAACAGGGAGACCAGAGGTTTGGGGTCGGTTCTCACTGTGAACTCCAAACCTAGCAGGTATGAACTGAGTCGTTCACAGGCCCACGTTGCAGCAAGAGCCTCTTTTTCAATCCAGTTTAGGTAGCCCCAGCCACTGATGAAATGAAGACCCCGGAGCCACCTGTTCAGTTCCACCAGACTTCCATCCCCTTTCTTTATTTCTGCCCCCCAACACATTCACTTCTCTTTCCTATCAGTTTGATACCGCCCCCTAGAGGCTCCATCCTCAACACCTCTACAAGTACGGTCAACAAGAACCCAACTCCATCTTAAAGCAACAGGAATTCCAGATCTCATTTGAATGGTGTGTTGTAAACCTTGACATTACCATCATTTCCGCATTACGTTATGTGAAATATTAAATTCCTGCTGTATTTGGTGCTAAATTGTGTAGCTGTGGCTGAGAATATAGAATAATAACTGTGCAAAATGAAACTAATGGTAATGTAAAAGTTTAGTATAAACTGTTATGGGTTTTTGAACTTCATCAGGGGCGGATCTAGAAAATGTTGCAAAGAAGGTGCAAAAGGTCAATAAAGGGTGGCAATTCTGGACCTCACTGAAGTGTGTGAACTAGCCCTACATAAGTACAGTCAACAAAATACACTCAAAAACACTTCAAAATTACTCATTATGTCATTACTTATATTAACAAGACACAATTTTTAGGAGTAAGTTCCCCAATATAAATACAGAAATGAAAATATACAGAAATCAGTTTCAGAAACAGAACTTATGGGCCATTCCCATCTGTACCAGGTCGGCCCAGTCGGCCCCAGCCTGGCCCGGTTGATTCCACACATCCTTGCCTTAAGCCCATGTGGGCTGATTCTACTAATCAGAGGCTTGCTCTAATGGAAGGTGTGAATTTGCTGTCAGCAGTGGGTGTGTTGTAGCCTAGTGAACTAGACCAAATTCTTGCTTTGCAAAGAATGGTCTAGGCATGCTCCATTGGAACCTCAGCAGCTCCTACCGGGACTCTGGCTTGCCAATCACAGCTCTCTAGAGGGGTTTCAAACACATAAAGAGCTGTGATTGGTCCATAATGGTGGGCCAATCATGCTCTATCTGCTTAGTGAACAAATCACAGAGCTTTATCCGCTTTGTGGGCCAATCAGGGCACTCTATATGCCTGGTGGGTGGGATGATGCAACAGAGTGAAACAAGAGTATGTCACATTCATTATCCAGTGGAATGCGGAGATCATTTGAAAGACAACGGTAGAACCCGCCCCACAACCGAGAGCCGTCAATTGAGCATGGCCAGACTAAATAATACATTTATTTAGCGGGCGCATTTATGTGTGTAGGGGTCTCAAAAAAGTGTTAAAGAAAGATATCTTCAAATAATACATTTATTTAGTCTGGCTTGCCAGGCTAGGTGTGTTGGTCCTGGTCGGCCTGAAGCAGACCCCCTCGAGAAGAGGGCCGAGAATGAGCCTTGGTTGGCCCGGAAAAATACCAGGCCACCCAGATATGTAAACAACCTACGCTACCCGGCCCGGGCCGACCCGGTACAGATGGGAATGGTCCATTAGATTATTGCACAGGACTGGTTTCAACCATCACTTTTAGGAGATTTTAACTCCTTAACCTACAGGTCAACCTGTGTCTCTCTTAAATGTGTGCTGACATAGTAGTTGTAAAATGATACCGCACTAAAACAAATTCAACAATCATGGTGATGTTTGAATATAAAGAATACTTTGTTACTGCCTTATATCATCAGTTTACATTATTTTGTAACTCTTACTGCCACAAATAAATCAAGCCATAAAATCAATAACTTTGTATGTGTTACTTTATGGACACACACACACACACACACACACACACACACACACACACACACACACACACACACACACACACACACACACACACACACACACACACACACACACACACACACACACACACACACACAACCATAGAGCCACCCCTGCATGTAAATAACTGTAAAGCGAAACTGATAGGAATGCAACAGTATCTAACTCACTATTAGCATCACCTGTGACATCATAATTTTTTTCTTAAATTATAATTGTTCAATGGTCGATGCCAAACATGTTCACAATGTTTTTGTACAAAATATCTCTCATATAAAGCCATTTCAGCAGTTTTATTCTTTTCTTTTTTTCTCGTTCCCCCCTCTTTTAGGAGTTTTATTCTTGACATTTTCAGTACCTTCCAGAGAAAGCTATTGACCCTGTGCGCAAAACAAAATGCTAATTTCCAGGTTCCGACAGGAAGTATATTTTTGTTAAGTCTATTATAGCTAGTGTTATGCTAATTAAACTGCATGGTAAATGAGGATAAATTAAGATATTTAATAGTAAAATTTTGCTTTGATTGGCATGTCTGTGTGTGTGTGTGTGTGTGTGTGTGTGTGTGTGTGTGTGTGTGTGTGTGTGTGTGTGTGTGTGTGTGTGTGTGTGTGTGTGTGTACCTACTCCCCTCCCCCTTAACTGAAATGGATGAAGCAATGTAGCTGCTAGAAAACCGATGCATAGCAACGCATCTGATTTTGTGTTTCTACTCGATTACATTGAATATTATCCATTTATGTCAGAATATGATAAAAATGTGCAGTTCGCCTTATATTTAAGGTAAAGACGCAAGTTGTGTACATAAGAATGGCAGCGACGTCACTGAAATCACCATTTCATCACTAAACATCTGTAAAGCACCCCGGATAATAACAACAAAGCACGTCCGAGACACTCTGAACTAACATGGGAATACACTGAAAAAAGAGCTTTAGTCTGGTTGTGAAACTATGAGAATGTATTTTTTGAATTCTGCACGATTTGTTTGTTTCTGGTCTAAACATGACTTTTTTTGTTTAATGTTAACATGAATTTAATGTTTGTCAGGTGAACAAGTGCAAATCATGTTCTCACGACACATTTAAATCATGTTTTGATTTTTAAATCATGAAATGGTCATGTTCTAGTAACATGGATTTAACATGTTGGCATGATATGATGAAGCCATAAAACCATCGACATATAAATATTGGACAATGGGTTTCCATAGGCTCCAATAACAAGTTTTTGAGGGCAAATGAGAGGTGGCCACCACCGCCATTTTGACCGTGTCACAGGTTCCGTCAAGCCCAGACAATTCCACAAAAGGGAAGAGAGGTGGAGCTGAGGGTGGGGCTGTAAGGCTGGGATCAACTGACGACACCCGGTCGAACTAGCTACAAGCTAACCTGAAGCTAACCCAAAGCTAACACGGAGGTGGGAGCTAAGCTAACGGAGGTAGCAACCTAGCTACAACCGGAGTTAACTGTGCACAACACCAGAGCTTCTGAGTCAGAGGTACGCCGGGCTGACCGCTGGGTAAAACCGGGTGGAACACAGAGGTCTCCGAGACCTCCACAAGCCGGCAGCCGCACAGCAGACAAGCGCCGCTGCGATCTGAGATGCGCAGAGCTGCCGCTGGGGAGAACCGGGTCGAAAGGTTTCCGTCCCAGAGCTCCACAAGCTGGTAGCCCGCGCAGCAGACTGGAGCCGCGATCAGAGATGCGCCGAGCTGCGGGGAGGGGAGAAACGGGTGGAAAACATCAGTCTCCCGAGAGCTCCACAAGCCGATAGTCGGAACCCAGCTCCACCAACATGTTATATTTCAACCCATTTTCTAAAGTGCAGCATTATGTTAAATGCACTGGGTTTACCCTATTACATTTAAATTTCATGGTTAAACAGTACATGTTAAAATCTAAGCTCAGCTCGGCAGCGACCTAAAATACATAAATATAATTTTACTTACCGAAAAAAATGAAGTGGAGACTCCTTGGACGCTCTATTAGTGCAATTAATGCCACAGCAATTTCATGACTCCCATTTTTCAGCCTTCATTCAGCTCACCTGGTCCCTTCACCAAGCTCCTGACAAGCCCTGTTTCCCTGGCAACCACCATCAACTCCATTCATCTCACCTGTTCCTGTAATCAGCTTCATCCACTTCACCTGCTCCTGACTCCTCAGCTCATCTCACACACCTGCTTCCCCTGCTATCAAAGAACCATCCAGCTATCCAGTCTCTGCCAGATTATTGAAAACATTTGCCAGTAAATTCTCCAGCCATCCACCGTGCCTGATCTCTGCCCCCGGACCTCGTTTTTCTCCTGACCCCTGCCTTGAACTCTGCCTGCCATCACGACCCTCGCCTGTCTTCTACCACGTCTCCAGCCTGCTCCCTGTACATGCTTGTGCCGATTTGGTTTTGACTCACGCATGCCCTCCGACTCCTGCCTCGCCCTCCTCTGGTAACTCCACAAAAAATAAAAGATTTTTTAATATACTTTTACTGTGTTTGGCGTCATTACGGGTCTTCTGAGTCCTGTTCGTGACAAGCAAGTCATTTTGTCCAACAATTGCACAAATAATATCCAAAAAAGAATACACAAACACAGAGACTCAAAATGCCGGAGCAGTTTCCAGGCCAGACCGAGGCTCTACTGAGGCCTTTCCACAGAGCTAGCTCAGTGGTCACGTGGGTCTGAGGCGGCGGTCACGTGGGTCGGATGCTCATTATACAGAATTTTAGACTTTTAATACACTTAAACAGAAGAGTGAGAAAATTCAACCCCCTCAGAGTTGTCATGAGTGTAAACTAGATAATTTAAACAAATATGTTCTGGCACCAGGCTGTAAACATGTTTATCTGCTGTGAAATTGGTATTTTTAACATGGGAGTCAATGAGGATTTGCTCGCTTCTGACACCAGCCCCCAGAGGATGAGGGTGGAACTGCAATTTTAGGTACTTCCAGGTTGGCCTCAATGTTTGAGCCGCATTGTGGGGGCTTGCATAAAACCAACACAATTCAATTTCATGGAACTGATTTACGTGATTCAATTATGTAAATCCAACAGATGTTTTTTCAGTGCAGTGCTGGTGATCCACATCAAATAATTGGTGAAATAAAGAACTTTAGTGGAAAATAATGCCTTATTTAGTGGCTGCACTGCGACCACAACAGCTCCTATCATGGATATACGCCAATCGTAGATGGAGCTTTCTTGGAATCAAATTAGCATCAAAGTTCTCTGGGTGTGTAAATGAATGTATTGTATAGTAGAAATAAGGCTCAGTAAGGTAGCAAAAGAAAACTGTAGTTACAGTTTAATATTAGCACAACATGTTTACCTTGCCCCTTTTAATCAAGTTTGCACTAGTTAGCACAGCCGTGTTCTGTACTCGCCTTCATAATTGTGCACAAACTGGAATATGTACAATTTGAATCCCTTTTCTTGTTTGCTTTATGGAGCAGATGAAAAAGTGTCGACAATACGATAATTGTCATCGACTGAAATTCTTGGCAAATTCCCAAGGGATCTGGAAAGTGTACTGTTCACTGCATGCATCCATGCTGACATCATTGTGAAGGGGAGAGGAAGTACCACAGCTCTCCAGAGTTCATTAATCAAAAGCGTTTGCTATCAAGCACAGGGTCTGTTTCAGGGCTTTGTCACTTTAAGAAAACAAGCTAGAACTGGCCACCCCTGCTCAGGCTGCTATAAGCTGAGAAGCTCCATCTGGATGGGGCTTGGAGTAGAGCCGCTACTCCTCCAGCAATGGGTCTTTCTTGCATGTGAAAGATGGTTTTCGTAATTTTCAAAACAGCTTGTTTTAGGCAAATTATTTCTAAAATCAAACACTGGCAGAAAACGCTCAGAAGGATTTTTTCCACGTTTGGAGTGTTTATAGAGGCAGTAGAGACCACACAGCCTAAAAGGAAGCAAATGGTGAGTTTTTCATAACATGCCCTATAAAGCAGCAGCATCCACCTTTATTCCTGGAACTAGTGGTGCGTTCAGTTTACCTCTGAAGTCTGAATTTGGAACTGGGAATGGTGACACACCTGAGTTAACTGCGTTCTGGTTACTGTAGTCAGCGATGTCAGGATTCCAATATTGGCGACGCACACCTCCCAAGTAGTAATTGTTTGTATACTCCTCTTAATAGCATGGTTTTAAGATTTGCGTTTAACACGCAAACAAAACTTTTAGTATGTTAAGCTTAGAGTTGCAAACACTACATTTAATATTGGTTTTAAACTATGTGTGTTCTGTTAAATAAACACATTTCACCCAAAAGTTACTGTTGTTGATAAGAAGAGCTGCCATTTTTGTTGTCGAGTTCGGAATTCTGAAATTCCTCCGAGTTTCTGACTGCGAGGTCCGACTTTTTTTTGGGGGGGGGGGGGGGGGGGGGGTTACAATTTTCCAACTAGGAAGTTGGGATTTCCGAGTTCCGAAGATACATCGAACGCACCATCAAACCCTGTTTCTGCTGAGTGAGGCTATTTGCTTTTACACCGAAACCTCAAAATGGCCAGAAACTCCCTTTAGGTATCACAGTAGGATCTGTTAAATGATAACAAACTATAAATAATTATAATAAACTGGTATTTCCACTTGGTGTTCTGTCCCGGTTGGTTTACTCGTCCTTCATGCACCGGTCCCTGAACGCACCTCCTCCTTCCTCAGGGTGAGTTCTGCACGCGGGTCAGGACTCTGGAGCCACCCGGAGGAGGAGGGTTACATCAGAGCGGGACGGGGTTGGGTGTTGTTTTTCACTCATTCTGGCACACCCTCCGTCCTCCCCAGCATCCTGCCCAGAGCCTCCAGTCGTTCCCAGTGAGACCGAGCAACAGGTAGAGCGGCAGCAGCAGCGAACATGCCGAGTAAGAAGCAGCATCTGCGGCCGCGGCTGTGCTCGCTGCTGAAGGGCGACAACGGCTACGGCTTCCACCTGCACGGAGAGAAGGGCAAGACGGGCCAGTTCATCCGCCTGGTGGAGCCGGACAGCCCGGCAGAGTCCTCGGGTCTCCGCGCCGGAGACCGACTCGTTTTCGTCAACGGTGAGGACGTGGAGACCGAGAGCCACCAGCAGGTCGTGTCCCGGATCCGAGCCACGGCGGGCCGACTGGAGCTGCTGGTGGTGGACCCGGACACGGACCTGCTGCTGAAGAAACACAACCTAAAGTGCCTGAAGGAGTTCGTCTCCGATGGTCTCCCGTTACCGTTCGAGGACAACGGAGAGGAGGAGGAGACGCAGGAGGACGAGGAGAAGAAAGACGAAGAGGAGGAGGTGGTGGTGTTGGTGAAGGAGGACGTAGAGGTGGACGGGACTGAAAACGGGAACGCGAGGCTGGAGGAGGTGAAAGTTCAAGGAGAAGTAGAAGAAGAGGAGGATGAGGTGGTGGTGGTGGAGGAGGAGGAGGAGGAGGAGCAGGCGGAGACACCCAGGGAGCTGACCCCCGTCCCAGAGAGGAACGGGGAGATCCTCGGACACGTGGAGGAGAAGCTGAGCATCAGCTCTGAGAAGGTGAGTTGAGTTCTGGAAAAGTTTCATCATGTCCCGTCCTGGTGTCTCTTCCTCTTAGACATGTCCTCCTGAGGAGAATAGGTCCTCAGTGACAAAGACAACCTCAGCCTCATGTCCACAGGTCCACCGATGTGGATCAATGGCCGATACCCAGCTGGTAGAGCTCAGAGGAGCTAGCTCTCTCTAGGTTCTGTGTTTCCTTTTTGATAATGGCCAAAGAATGAACAAACATCACAGATAACGTTAAAGGGGACGAACGTCAGCTGATCTATTGACCAGGCTGCTGGGTGAGAGGTTCAGGCTCGGGTCTGATGGCCTCAAACAACACCATGTGGCAAGGTGGAGAAACGAGGGCCCGGGCGGGATTCGATCCCCAGACTCCCGGGCCAAAGGGACATCCCCTTGGCCAAGTAGCCAGGGCGCATGATCAATCGGGACACTGTGACAGGACACTCACACTGCCACAACTAGAACATTCTGGCCGCAGACACATCTGGGTTTATCGTTCTATCGTCAGCCTGCAGGTTCAGGCTTAGGCAGTGAAAACAAACCACATCAAATAACTAAAGCCTCCACTACAAACAGCAGGAAATAGTCTGGTGTCTTGTTTTATTCCCACTAGTGAGATTCCGTTATGGGATTTGTTTTTCAGCCTTTCATCTTGGAACATTATGGGCTTCACTCAGTTGTCTGCTCTTATTTTCTCTGGTCACACTTTCTGCGTGTGTGTGTGTGTGTGTGTGTGTGTGTGTGTGTGTGTGTGTGTGTGTGTGTGTGTGTGTGTGTGTGTGTGTGTGTGTGTTTAAATTCATTCAAACCACTTGAGGAAGACGCTCCGGTCAGGGACATCTGTGCCTCTTGCTGCGCCGCCTTGCGTGTTCTGGATGTTTACCCCTGAGGCTGTTTCTGTCTGAGTCCAACACATGTCCTCCCAGTGAGACGGGTAGAAGGAGCGTGTGAGACAGCAGATATCACAACAGGGCAGAACCAGAACCTGATGGGCTTCTTTTAGGTGTTTTTATACAAAGGGCAGAACCAGAACCTGATGGGCTTCTTTTAGGTGTTTTTATACAATCCTATTTCTGCTTTGGCTTGGTTCACACAGAAAGGTAGTCATCCCCACTTTTGATCCTCTCCTTCCATTCTATCTTAAAGACCAAGTTCACTGAGAAACCATTTTTCTTGTTATTTTTAAGATACGATCAGTTATTCTGAATTTCACTTGCAGGCTGAATGTGAAAATAGTCTTTGCCGTGGAGAGTAAATAGACGAGGAAAGTCTCGTATTAGAAAAGTCAGACTTGGACTCCCCCATCTTGGCTCGTGACAGGGAAGACTTTTGTTGATTCAGGAGAGAGCAGAGCAGGTCTTGGCTAGTAGTAGCTAACCGTTAGCATTAGCAACTCGGCAGCACGGTAGAACTCCTCCAGGCTTGTGTTATTTGTAGAGGAAAAACGTTGCAGAGCAAACAGTCGGTGGAAGAGTCGCGTTGCTCTTAGCCAATCAGAGGTGAGATGTCCAAAAATCATGAATAATGAGTAAGTCTCCAAATCCTGCCGTTTTATGCCCCCATTCCTCCGACTAACTTCTACTTCCTGAAACAGAGGCGCCAGAGCTTTTTTCCATTGAGAACGATTCCTAAGGCATTGATTTATACCTCTTTAAAGCTGAGGAGGTCAGAGAGGTCATGATTATCCGTGTTACAGTTGAATTTAGATATTTAGTTACAAATAAGCACTTTTTTGAGTAGGAAGAAAGCAGCTTTTATTAAGTTTTGTTAAAAATTAGTACATACACAAAGCATACATCAAACGTAGACATTTCTGTCATCTTGTTTTCTCTTGACCTTAATGAGCCACTGGCAGCAACTTTAACATTACTTTTAATCTAGTTGCTTTAAACACATATTTATGTTTTTACATGAAAATTGTGACATTTTGCCTAATCTTGTGTTATTACAAAGCTTATGCTGACATTTTGGGTAGTTAGTTACTTTTAAACGCTTCAGAAATTCCTCCAAATATTTCTTAGTTTCTTCCTCAAACAACTTTTTCCTCCTCACCCAACTGTTAAAAGCTCATAAAAAGCAATTTAAGACACAGAAACCGCTGACATTTAGCATTCATCTTTATGAAGTGATGCTTTGAAGTAGAGGGCACTCGCTGCTTCTTCACATCCATCCTTCACAACAACAATGTAATGACAGCTTTAGCTTTTCTCAGTGCGAGCAGCTAGATTTGGAATCACGTTTCTGGTATTTAAGGGATTTTTTTTCCTATTCCTCTTCACATGGAAATAGCTGCAGCCCACGCGTGTTTGCACGCAGCTCTTGAGAGCTGCTGGGTTGTGTTGTTTGTCCTGGGGATACACAGCAATTGTTCTTGTGTTTACTCTCGATACTGTCCACAGATGGCCCGGTGGAGCTGTCGATTCATGCCGGCACGCACAATCCCGCAGGGCAAGTGTTGTGGAGACCATATTGCAATCCCTAAAAAGTCTGTTTCGTGTTTTAAATATGGAATTTAACAGCAGGTTTCCATTGAAATCCTACTGAGTAGTGATCCCGGTTGGGAGATCTTCTTTAATATGAATTTGCAAAGCAAGATTTCCCAAGCTGAGAAGGTTACATGAAGACATTGGCACACTCAGGAGTGAAAATAGGACTCAAGAGATGTTGTGTTGCACTTCAGGGCGTATTTTACATGAACTCAAAAGTTTCTGGAATTTTCTTCCAGCATCCTGTCTGGCATTCCTTTGTCCAAGTCCTGTCGCCCAGCCAGTCTCACACACACAAACGCACACACACACGTTTAGTTTGACACTAAAGAGAGCTCCTCAGCTTCCCTTCAGAAGTCGAGGAGCCGGAGCTTGTGTGGTCTCCATGGTTACGCTGATGGTGTGTGTGTGTGTGTGTGTGTGTGTGTGTGTGTGTGTGTGTGTGTGTGTGTGGAAGAAGGTAGGTGGAAGCGAGAAAGTGCAAGGGAGGTGTGAAAAATGGATGAGCAGCGATTTAAGGTCAACATGAGTGAGGAGAGAAGCAGCTGTGGTCTTGAACGAAAAACGAGAACACATCAGCTGTTCCAAAGGTCACTCGTTTGTTTACAGGGCTGTAAAATGTTTACCCTGCTGTTTTGCAGAGGAGAGTTTTGAGGATGTGGTTCTGTCCACCTCTAAAAAAAAAGTTTGCCGATATATCGGGCGATGTTTACCATTTTTTATGCATCTGCAATATTTGTCCTTTGTAAAGCCGATTTAAAGTCGGGCACGTCCTCGGGCAGCCCGGTGCAGTTGCAGAATTTTATTTCAATGTATGTTTATGTTCACTGACAACATTTGCATAAAAAATACTCTAAATTAACTTTATTTAGGTGTCTGATTTTAACACTGAGCAGTGCACAGTGTTCAGATTTAAAAATTAGTTAAATTCAAATTTGAAAATCTGATTTAGCTTCAGAATTTTTTTGCATCAACTGATACTATCAGTTACATTTTAGCATGAAAATAAGGTGAAAATGTCTAAATCGGGCATGACATTCAGCCCATAAAAATCGGCAGTACATATCGGCCATCGGCTGACCATGTCTCCAAAATATCGGCATCAGTATCGGCCATAGAACAAACAACATTGTGCGCCTCTATTGCAAATGATTCATGTCACTTATTTAATCAGCTTTAAAATGAAATAGCTTAGAATTTATGTTTATTTGCATGTTTCTAATCAGCTGATGCTACAGGAACAGAACATTAATGGAAAGACAGGATTAGGGAGGAATTTTACATTTTGCGCATGACTGTGATGTTGAAAGAATTAAAACACTCCAGATTTTCTGATTATAAACAAATGAATATAACCAAACACATAATCTAACACAAACTACAAAACTGTTTTACTAATTAAAAAAATAGTCTAGAAGTCACGTGGTTCTTAAGAGAGGAATTATTAACCAGATGAAGGACCACCCAGCTGGTTATGAGAGAGCATTTTTGTAGCCAGCATGTGGATTTGATTAGTATAGAGCTCCGGACTCCACGTGACTCTCAGTTAGTAGACGCCATATTGGCAGGCAAAAAAGGTAAATAAACACGGATCGTAAACATGAACATGAACGGGATCGGCTTGGATTTTACTTCGTCGGAGTTTACTTCACACTTTAAAACCGAAGAAATTGTTTTATATAGTCAGAAATTAAATAGACTAAACATCTCCGACCCTTACCGTGCCCCTGGGATACTTTTTAAAAACGCCAGAAGCTGTCGGAGCGGACTTCTTACCGGACCTGGCCAGGGAACCCCTTGGGATTTCCCCGGAGGAGCTGACCCAAGTGGTTGGGGAGAGGGAAGTCTGGGCCTCTTGACGCTACTGCCCCCGCAACCCGACTCCGGATAAGCGGATAAAAATGGATGGATGGATGGACAAATAACAGATTTACATGTAAGAAGTTTAAATAGAGTGCTGTGCTGTTTGAATGTATAAAATGAACACCAAGAGAAATCACTAGTCTGATTTGTTTCCGTGAATAAAATAAATATGTCAGGCTGGAGCGTCTCAGGATCTGTCTGAGATCTGTCTCGGTGAGACAGATAATAGCAATCCAAAGTGCTTTTTATGTGTGATCTGACAATTGATCGACCATTGCTTAAAAATTAAATACAGCTTAGCCGTTAATTGCTGTGATCATAAAACACGTAAACGGCAGCACGCAGAAATCTCGAGGCAACGTTTTACGTGATGTTTACTTGCTGCTATGAGTAATAAGACAGAAAAAGCCACGCCAAAATAAGTTTAGGAAGCCCACTAAGAATCGTAATAAAAGCATTTAAAATAAATACCATACACAGTTGAGGAAACGTTGGTTTAAGTACCTGATATGAAGTGGTCGCTGCATAAGCGAAAACCTTTACTCTCGGGGTCCCACAGTTTCATTTTAGCCCGGTCACTAGTGCGTTTTATTACAATGATCCAACGTTTGCGGCGCTCCGGATCTTGGGAATCCTGTAGAT